GGGACTATTTTGTACGGGTAACTACACCACCACCGCATTTTTTATTAATTTTTTTTTCACACAACTGAATTTTGATCTTTTAAATTGAAATACCTGATTAAAGGGTGGCCGAAATTTTTCTCCGTTCCGGGCGGCTAACACCCACGGTACGCCACTGCGCATCTGAACTCGTCTATCAAAAAATTGGCGCATGGTATGCAAAAGGTTGGCCACCCCTGGTTTATATAATGAAATAAAAACAAAAGATGGCATTTTATCAATTCTAAGAATATTGCCAAAACTTGTTTTCAGTATGACTGATCACTTTTGTCATTTGAAAAATGCGAAAACTTTTTCGTTTAAGTAATTTTTCTAATTGTTTCTTTCCTTGTAATGAGTAATTTCACATAAATTACGAAAGACGAGCTTGAAATATAATGATTTGAAATGTCTAGCAGCATTTCGAATATTATATTTCAAGTTTTTAAGTTACCCTCTATTTGGGAAGGATTTTAAAAAGTAAATAAAATAGTATATTGAATATACATTTATTTTGTACCTATTCAATTCTTCCTTAATCTACTGTATTGTGTTACTCTCTATACATATATTTTAATGAATAAACTATGCTTTAAAAAAATAATGTGTTTTAAACCTTGTCCTTTTAAATAAACAATTTGAACAATCGATAATAAATAATGTATCTCTCACTTACTGAATTTAATCTTCAGCCCTTAACTTGTTAATCATGTAATTATCCTATCTTGGTATTCTTTGATCTACTAAAAACTTTATTTGCCAGTTTATTTATATCTAATAAGACAACAAACATATTAAAAACTTCACTAATGAAAGTGTACAGTACGTTTATATTATTACTTCTAAATTGAAGTATATATTACAGTATATAATAACGAAACATCTGCTATTAGTATAATTTATTTATATAAAGGTTACAATGTAAGCAAGACTTTCGAAGAATACAGGGCATTATATCTTGTTTAACAAGAAAGAAACGTAACTTAAGCACTAGAGGACGAACAACAAAGTTATCACCAAGTGTCTGTCCTGACCCTACATCCGGTTATAAACGAATTAATTATTATTATTATTATTATTTTTTAATCATAATTTTGAAATATATATTACTAATGCCTTGTACTGTATATAAGATTTTAAAATTGATAGAATAGTGTTTCGTCGTTTATACTTTAACGTCAATTTTACGTCATTTCATCAGTCGTACAATGAACAAGTCTTAAAATTGACGTCAAATTGACGTAAAAGTTTACATTATCTCAAGAAAACAAACAAAATTGTTCATATTTTTATACCGTTCAGGATATTTTTAGATATATTTTAATACAATTTTCTTTAATATTTAAAATTAAAAAAATAGTTTTTTTCTTTCATTTTCATAAATCAAATTTATAGTTTTATTATTATAATATTCACTCTTATTACAGGCAATAAAAATAATAATATAATAAAATAAAATCAATATAAGAAAGAAAAATAATTTGGCATCATATTACATATTTAAAAAATGTAAGAATTTATTCCTTATTTCTTTATTTTGACCCTAATATTAGACAAATGATTTGGGAAAATTATCCAAACTACATGATTTATAACATTACAGGATAAATAAAATGATGTATTTCATAACAAATGATACAGTTTTATTAAATAAAATAACATTAATCTCCTAAATGATTTTGTGTCTTTATGTAGAATAAAAGTAAGTTGAAAAAACAATAAAAAGAAGATTATTCTGTGTTATTTATTTCTCCTTCAGTCATAATTAAACAACAAAAATGCATCTTATAAATTAAAATACAGTAATTAATAATTCATTATTATTTTATTATAAATCAAGAAATATATTTATACCTTTTATTCTAACGCTGTTATTCGAGATTTTGTACAGTACATGTTCCTTTACTTAAAGGAAAATAAATGAAGAAATGAATATCTCTTATATAAACATCCTAATTTATAAAGCAAAAATTCTAGTTCATAAATCTTTATTTGAATTTTTAGTGTGTGACAAACGTTTATTATTTTAAATCTATTCAAAAACAAAATAAAAACTCTTACCGTAAAGATTTATTCCATTCATTTACAAAGGAACTTCATCAGCAATTTTATTATCGCACAATCTCTCATTATCGTTAAAAATAAACATTCATTATAAATTCTGCCTACTATTATTATATCTATTCTTAATGCGAAATTATCACCGAACTCAACGATATTTTAATTACAATATTTTGAATTTAATCATGAATTTATACGTATCGTAACAGGGAGGAAGCCAGGGTACTTGCTCTTTATCTTTGTAAGTAAATAGAGAGGTTGCGGCTGAAGTTTTCAACGCGAAAACGTATACAACGTCGGACGTTCAGCGCCGCCTTCCTGTAAGTCTAGAAGTTTGACAATGGCGTTTGGAACGTCGAGCATGATTCCACTGACGTTCCAAACGCCTTTGTCAAACTTCTAGGCTTACAGGAAGGCGACGCTGAACGTCCGTAGTACACGTTTACGCGTTGAAAACTTCGGCCGCAACCTCTCTAATAAATGTAAAAAAAAATCAAAATACTGTATAGAAAAAAGATTGTACTCTTCATCATCCAGCAATACGGATCCACTAGCTTTATTCAGTGTACAGGAGTTACTGTAGGTTTGCGCGTTCTAATTTAGACCCTTCTTCTTCTTTGGACTTCTCCTCCTGTTAGGTTCTAGTTACGCTACTGGGCATTTACTATAGAGAGGTTGCGGCCGAAGTTTTCATCTCTCAAACGTAAACGCCGAACGTCGAGCGCCGCTATTTTGTACGCGGCTCTCGACGTTCGACGTTCACGTTTGAGAGATGAAAACTTCGGCCGCAACCTCGCTGGAAATTTTAAATACATTGTAATGGAAAGATTGGCTTCGATAATCAAGTTAAACGAGCTTGCGTGCATATGAATTTTAAAACAAGTAGACATAAATTAAAACAACAAGCAAAATTTCGCAATGTATTCGTTTCGCTTAATAATATTCTATGAAACATGCCAACGTTCAATATTAACAAGCAGGTGTGCAACAATGACTACTAAATTTAAAAATGACAGACATTTAATATATATATANCCCTCGTGTCTTCAGTATTATAGCTCCACGATTCTTACCCTCGTGTCTTCAGTATTATAGCTCCACGATTCTTACCCTCGTGTCTTCAGTATTATAGCTCCACGATTCTTACCCTCGTGTCTTCAGTATTATAGCTCCATGATTCTTACCCTCGTGTCTTACGTATTTCAATCTTATCTAGAATCCAAATCGGAGGTGTGTCCGATAATACACACCTGGTTTTGTTTGTTTAGTTAAGTTATGGCAATGCAACACTTGGGACATCTTCCTAGGGGGAATGCCTTCCGAGAGGTCTTTTTAAGGGAAACTGGCTCCTATCTAGGCGTTACAGACGTGGAAAAAACCCGGAAAACTCCACGTGGTTGGCCTGTCCGAGCGAGGCGCGTAACCCACAACCGAACTCCCAGTGTTCAGGGAACGAAGACCGTTTGGCCACTGGTAGGCCTACACATCTGGTAGTAGAACCCCTATTCAAAAAGATTGAATCTCGATTTTGACATCTCTCAAACATCCATAGCAAAACATTCAAAAATACTTAATTCATGTTCAGAACTGAATTATTAAATTCATTGATATTATTCTAATTATTTTTAANGAATTATTCTCTATTTAATTAATATAGTTTTTTTAAATTAATTCTCTATTTTGATACAGTAATACAAAATGAATCTTTATTTTCTAAGTAAATAGCTTATTTTAAATAGCAAAGATTTAGTTGACTATCTTAAATCCATTGTGAAATTGTAAATCGTTGATTAAATGTGATTTATAACATTAATTAATAACAAAACTGAAAGTTTCAACTTTGATTTATGATAAAAGTTTTCACAATAGGTTAATAAAAATTTCACTTCACTTAAAATGATACTGTTTGAAATTATTTTTGTTATTAAATCTTAATTTATTAGATTATTCTTGCTCATTTTTCTAATCTATTCATCTTAAGAGAAGAATATTTAAATTAATAAATACTGTCAATTTCGTTCAAGAAATATTGAGATTTACTGAAAAGTATAGCAATTTTTCCAAGAATTAACTGTGAAAACTATGATATACTCAAAAGTATAGATTTTATTAATGCGAGGTATCAACACATTCAAAGCTATACACTGATCATACTTTTATCTATAACAGGTTGATCTGACTTACAATGGAATCGACCAATATGAACAATGATGAACGATGCCTTGATCAATATTATCCATAAGAGGAAATTCGAATTTTCAATATAATTTTTAGAAATTCGATATTCACTTCCAAACTCAAATTCAAGAAATGATCCATTTCAACATAAAACTTAATAAATTAAATGATATATTAGAATTAATAAATAATGAACTTTTATAATATTAAAAACATTATACTGTATTATCTATCATATTGCTTTTTAACTGACTGAAAGCAATATTTCCTGAAAATCAAACCTAAATATATAAATTTTTAAGGGTTTTGACGGATAGTAATTTATTCCCATAGTTTCATATTAAATGTACTGTACTAATTAATTTAATAATGCTTTTATAATTTTAAGTTTCAAACGCTTTTTGAATGTAAAAATAGCTGGAAAATTAGCAATTTTGTCTTATTCTTTCCTTGTTTCTGAAGTCCCGTAAAGAAAGAAAAAAAAACCTAAGTTTTCTATACTTTAATGAAAATTCCAAACTAATTATAATAATAAGAAAGAAGGAACCGATTAAATGACACAGTACAAATTAAACAAAAATACTTGAAATTCTTTATTTTCAATTCTCTGAGACAATTTATAAATATATTATTAACATTTATAACGTTAAAACATTTTTAAAAGAAATGAAATATATTAATAATCATTATTAAATATAAATTTAGGACTGCAAAATGCCCGTAATATCAATAACAAACGTTAACAATTATATTACTGTATGAATAACATCATTTATAAATCAATTTGTATGTCTTTAAATACATTTCCATAAATTAAATCAAATTATTATATATTATATTTAAAACATTCAAGTGAAAATTTTACATTTATATGTATTTTTCCTTCGCTTCTTCATTTACTGTAATCAGAAAAATTAATGTGTTAAGCATTATATATACAAAACATAAATTAATTTATCATTTATACAATATATTATTTTTATTTCTTTAAAGAATTAAATTGACATACCATACATTTGGATACAGGAACACAATCACCAAAATATGAAGCGTATCCTTCTTTACAAAAACAAATAGGCAAAATAGTTTGCGGATAATTATAAGTTCTTGTGGTTCCGGGTCCCGAACACATCGTAATTTTCCATTTCAGGTAAAGTTCCGTATTCGGTTTTTTACATATACCTAATTTATAATTAAAAATATACTTATTAAAGCGTACTTTATTTACTTTATATATAAAACCTATAAATATAGAGTACGTACGTTTGCTACAATCTTCAATTGGAAAACATTTATCAGTTGTATCATCTCTTACAAATCCTGATTTGCAAAAACACCCGGAATACATTTCTTCATCGTAACATGGTCGAGAAAAAAGTTTATCGCAAGTAGATTCACAACTTTCGTTACGATATTCTTCATTTTGTAAACACTTAGTAATTGAAAATCTATTAACTACAGTAATAATAACAGTTTTCTATTACTTTAAACTATTTATAAATAATATTAATAAAATAAATAACTTACGTTTGACTTCATTTATTTGTAAAAAAATTACAAATACTACAAAATTGATCAGTATTATTTTAAAATTATCCATGTATTGTGCAATTATTTCCTGTAAAAAAAAAAA